CGATATCGAACCAATAACCTAATACTCCCTTCGTCCCATTTTATGTGGCAACATTTCCTTTTTGGTCAGTCCCAAAAAGAATGTCACATTTCCTTTTTGGTCAGTCCCAAAAAGAATGTCACATTTCCTTTTTGGTCAGTCCCAAAAAGAATGTCACATTTCCTTTTTGGTCAGTCCCAAAAAGAATGTCACATTTCCTTTTTGGTCAGTCCCAAAAAGAATGTCACATTTCCTTTTTGGTCAGTCCCAAAAAGAATGTCACATTTCCTTTTTGGTCAGTCCCAAAAAGAATGTCACATTTCCTTTTTGGTCAGTCCCAAAAAGAATGTCACATTTCCTTATTTGGTAAGTATTTAAAGGTACAATTCCTCTTTTATCCTTGTTGGTCCCACTTAATCTTGAAAAGAGTACTCCAATACATTTATTAGGAGAGAGAAAAATAAGTCTATTTTTTTAAGGGCAATTTGGTAAACATTTCAAAGTCTTTATCTATTTCTTAAACTTCGTGTCCGATCAAATGCTGCCACATAAAATGGGACGGAGGGAGTAACTTTTTTTATAAACCCATTAAAAATCCAATAACCCATTAACAATAACCCAATAACATTTTTTCGGTTCGATTTATTGGTCGGTTAGATTTTTGCACACCCCTATTGAAGGGTGTGTTTGGTATTTCCAAGGAAAATATTTTCCTAAAAATGTTTTCTTGGAAAACAAATAGATTTTTGACTTATTTTCTCATGTTTGGTTGGGGAGTAGAAAATATTTTCCGGAAAATATTTTTTAATGTTTAATTTATGAATGAAAAATATTTTTGAGAAAATCTCTTTTATTTTTTACTAGAGAGTAGAAAATAATTATTGAAATTGATTTTTTTTTTTTTTAAAGCAAACTTTAAATTTTATTTTGGGGAGGGGGGGGGGTTGGTAGGAGGCTGGTTGGGGGAGGAGGGGGATGGCGGGTTTCAAAATGGAAATAGTTTTAAAAAACAAACTTTAAATTTTTTTTGGGGGGGGGTTAGGGGCTAGCGGGGTAGGAGTGGGGTAAAAAATAAAAAATTGAAGTTGAAAATATTTTAAAAGAAATAAATTTAAAATTTATTTTTTCAAAAAAAAATTGTACTATGAAGTCATTTTTTCCTAAATTTTTGAGCAAAATGAGTTGATTTGAAAAATATTTTACCCAACCAAACATGAAAAAATTTGAAATCCTTTATACCAAACACACCCGAAATGGTTAATGTTTTTATATGAGAGAATTTGTTCCGTGTGTGGTGCAGATCCAAGCATGCTGTTACATAAAGTGACTGAGGAAGATAACAAGTTAGGCATAGGAAAATCATTTCCAGGATTGACGAAATCAGCATTGAACAACGTAAACCTTTATGCAGCAGAGAAAGAACTATACTTGGGATCAAAATGTCAAGTTGATGACAAGCCAAATCCATGGCAATTCTGGATGATCATGCTTAAGAGTGGTAACATGGACACTCATGCTGGTAAATGCCCGAAAAACGGACACAAAGTAGGTCCATTTGATCCTCCTAGTGAATTTCCATGTTTTGGTAAAGGATGTATGAATCAACCATTGATTTACCACAATTACACAACTTTACAAGGGACAACCCTTAAAGGGGGTTTTTATGGAACATGGGATTTGAATGCTGGTTCGAGCCGAGATAGTGCAAACATGAACACATCTTTCTATTCTGTAACATGGCAGAAAGAACTAGGTAAAGGAAGCTGGATTTTTCACCATGTGATAAGGACCTCAACAAAGTATCCTTGGTTAATGCTTTATTTAAGATCAGATGCCACTTCTGGTTTTTCTGGTGGATATCATTATCAAACTAGGGGCATGTCAAAAATTGTGAGTAAAAACATAAACTTTTAATTTTTTTCGCGATTTTGTTCATTTTCTTGATTACCCTTTTGAAAAAGATTAACTTTTGATACAGATACCAGAATCACCAAATTTCAAGGTAAGATTCAGATTGAATGTGATACAAGGTGGAGGTCCTCATAGCCAATTTTATCTGATGGACATGGGGAGTTGTTGGAAGAACAACGGAAAACCATGTGATGGAAATGTGACTTCAGATGTGACAAGATACAGTGAGATGATCCTGAATCCAGAAACACCATCCTGGTGCAAACCAGATGACCCTAAATTGTGTCCTCCATACCACACATTTCCAAATGGAACAAAAGTTCATCGACCCGACAAATCTCGTTATCCCTATGAGGCTTACCATTTGCTTTGTACACCAGGGAATGGGGAGCATGTTGAACAGCCTAGTGGACCATGTGATCCTTACAGTAATCCTCAACCTCAGGAGATTTTGCAGATTTTGCCACATCCTGTTTGGGGTGAATATGGTTATCCTACTAAGAAAGGACAAGGTTGGATTGGTGATCCAACAACTTGGGAGCTTGATGTTGGGAGGCTGTCACAATCCCTTTATTTTTACCAGGTTTGGATTAATTTAAGTTATATATACGGACCGTTAGATAGTATAAAGGCTCTTTACACTATAAAGGCTCTTTACACTATCAGTATAGTTTAACGCATGAAATTAATAATGCGACATGTTTATTGCAGGATCCAGGCACTGCACCAGCAAAGAGGAAGTGGAGTTCAATTGATTTGGGAACTGAAATATTTAGAGACGCTAATCAAGTGGCAGAATGGACTGTTAGTAATTTTGACATTCTTGTACCCAATAATTAGAAGTATTACATGTAAAAACAATATAAAAGAACACCAAAAGGGTGTTTTCGATTTTGAGAAATAGAAAAAAAATTTCTCATGAATTCTTTTCTTTCAATTCTTGAATATTTTGTTACTATTTGATTATTTTTTATTTTTGACTTAAATTGGAAATTGTTGAACCAACCATGTTACAACCAACTAATCAACTAAAAGTCAATCTTTAATAGAATTACTATACGAATATTTTGTTCCCTTTTGATACAAAAAAAGATGAAACAATTTCTGCAAAAAAGATGAAATTCATTGCCACATTGAAGTGTGCCAATGTTATCTTCATCGTTTAATTCAAGCAAGCAGATAGCACATGCTTCATTTTCCTCATCATCATCACCATCTTCGTTATTGTCTATGTCCATAACAGAAGGCACATAAGATGTACTTCTTTCGAAATACTGAGACATGTCTTGATCCACAAACTCATTAATATCTTCTTCCTCCCCCACCTCTTCTTCTTCGTCTTCAATTTCATCACTATAGGTGTCATCAAGAATCGATTGCGGCACTTGAATATTGTAACGAAAGTAGTTAGCATTCACTTGCATTCGAGCTGTCCTAGTCCGTCTTCCACTTGTTTTGTGTTCCTATTTCTGTCGGTTAATGACTCGAATTTTTAGTTTCATTTTTACTAGTTCAAAAACTATGACAGTGTAACTGCAATTTCTTTTTCTGTTTCTGATATGTTATCCATGTAATTTTCTCATTTTCTAGATCAACATCTATGTGGCTTCAATCTATAAATTCTAGACAGTAACACCCTTTTCGTATTAATTTAACGTTATGATTAGTATGCATCTGGTGTTATTGTGAATATGGTTTCGATTTGTTGGAAGTTGTTTCCTTTTTGATTTGGAACTAACAATTTGGAACTTTGATTTGATAAGAACAAACATCAGCATTTTAGGTAGGTCTGTTCTTACAAATGTGAGTATGGAAATCCATGGTTTCGGGCTGGGAAAAAGCACTGGCTGAAAAATATCTAAAGCAGGATTCAACTATCCAAGGAGATCGAACAATCCCCAACAAGATTCACATAGTCCTCGTGTTGATCTGGTGAACAATAATCGCTGGAAAAGTTGAGGAATGATCACATAAGTCAGAGGATAGAACTTGAGAAGTTGAAAGATGGACAAGAAAACATGAGATCTTTCTTTTCTAATTTGCTAGCCTGCGGAAAGGAAAAAGAAATTAGGAATAATTCTTTAAGATTATTTTAAGAAAAATACTTTCTCACAAACACTTGTAGTAATTCTCATAGCTTGAGGCGTTGTTCTTAAGGATATCCACAAGATTCAACAAGCTCTTCTAGTATAAAACTAGGAGCCAAAAACTAACAAAGATTCTTCAATATAAAACTCCGCACAAGAATATTGGAGGAAGAATATGTATTCATCATCATTTTTTTCTCTTCTCCCTCAGTGAAGAAGCATATAGAAATATATATGCTAGAAACTTTCACTGAGTCATGACATCAGAAGTTGCTTACTTCGATGCTTACAGCTTTGTTATAGACAACAATTGTCATTTTTGTTTGTATTTACTCTGGAAATCACGCCATGGTTCTTAATTAAGTGCAGTATCTTACTAAGTCACAGAAAAATAACACAGATGAAATAGCTATACAACAATGATGATCATAGGGATCAGATAAGAAATATGATTTTTTTTTCTCTATTGATTCTTCATCAGGCTTAGAAATGCTTACCTATTTCCTGAAAGAATCGAAGAAAACAAGTTAATCGTGGTGCCTGCCACTCTTTTGATTGTTGCAATTGTTTGTGAATTTGGAACACTATAGTCTATTGGGACATGACGAGACAGGACAATAACTAGACATGATAGGGAAAACCTTAAACGTGGCAGAATGGGATAGGACAAGTGGTGGATTTTCAGTTAAGTTAATAGGAATCACTGCCTACTTGTCATGTAAAATCATGGCCAAAGGCTATTCAGTTTTAAAAAATGAAAGAGAAATTAATTTTAGTTGTGCTCCGCGTCCACCCCGCTCCATTTGCATTCCTACTTTTCGCCTCCCAAATCCCAATAATCAAAGAAAATTTAATGTCATTTAAGTTGGTTAACTTTAAATTTAATGTTTATGAAAAAGTAATCTACAAAAGATTAAGATATTTATTTAAAGAACATAAATGTGAAGTCATCCACATAAATAAAACCAATATAAATAGAGAGAGCTAGTGACTAGTGTACATACAAGGCTAGAAAACTTAGACATGGCTCAATTTAAAATTTCATTTTCTAGGTTCAATTTGCTTTCTCTTTTGCTAATCAATGTGTATGTTTCTGGGGTTTTCTCCTTAAGTCTTGATGGAAATGATCAGTACATTTCAGCTGTTGGGGATCCAGGGATGCGACGCGACGGACTAAGAGTGGCCATAGAGGCATGGAATCAATGCAATGAGGTTGGAGAGGAAGCCCCCAAAATGGGAAGCCCAAGAGCTGCTGATTGCTTTGATGTTCAAAACAAAGGCTCTTCTCAGCAACAACAGAGTGAGTTGAACTTTTCTGTTTTCTTGATTTTGTTATGTTTGAAATGGTTAATGTTTTTATATGTGAGAATTTGTTCTGTCTATGGTGCAGATCCAAACAGGCTGCTACATAAATTGACTGAGGAAGATAACAAGTTAGGCATAGGAAAATCATTTCCAGGACTGACGAAACCCGCGTTGCACAATGTAGACCTTTATGCAGCAGAGAAAGAACTATACTTAGGATCAAAATGTCAAGTTGATGACAAGACAAATCCATGGCAATTCTGGATGATCAGGCTTAAGAGTGGTAACATGGATACTCATGCTGGTAAATGCCCGAAAAACGGACACAAAGTAGGTCCATTCGATCCTCCTAGCGAATTTCCATGTTTTGGGAAAGGATGTATGAATCAGCCACTGATTTACCACAATTACACAACTTTACAAGGGACAACCCTTAAAGGGGGTTTTCATGGAACATGGGATTTGAATGCTAGTTCAAGCCGAGATAGTGCAAACATGAACACCTCTTTATATTCTATACGATGGCAGAAAGAACTAGGTAAAGGCTGGATTTTTTATCATGTTTTAAGGACCTCAACAAAGTATCCTTGGTTAATGCTTTACTTGAGATCAGATGCCACTTCTGGTTTTTCTGGTGGATATCATTATCAAACTAGGGGCATGTCAAAAATTGTGAGTAAAAACATAAACTTTTCTTTTTTTTCGCGATTTTGTTCATTTTCTTGATTACCCTTTTGAAAAAGATTGAATTTTTATGCAGATACCAGAATCACCAAATTTTAAGGTAAGATTCAGATTGAATGTGATACAAGGTGGAGGTCCTCATAGCCAATTTTATCTGATGGACATGGGGAGTTGTTGGAAGAACAACGGAAAACCATGTGATGGAAATGTGACTTCAGATGTCACAAGATACAGTGAGATGATCCTGAATCCAGAAACACCATCCTGGTGCAAACCAGATGACCCTAAATTGTGTCCTCCATACCACACATTTCCAAATGGAACAAAAGTTCATCGAACCGACAAATCTCGTTATCCCTATGAGGCTTACCATTTGCATTGTACACCAGGGAATGGGGAGCATGTTGAACAGCCTAGTGGACCATGTGATCCTTACAGTAATCCTCAACCTCAGGAGATTTTGCAGATTTTGCCACATCCTGTTTGGGGTGAATATGGTTATCCTACTAAGAAAGGACAAGGTTGGATTGGTGATCCAACAACTTGGGAGCTTGATGTTGGGAGGATGTCACAATCCCTATATTTTTATTAGGTTTGAATCAATTTAAGTTATATATACAGACCGTTAGACAGTATAAAGACTTTTTACACTATCAATATAGTTTAACGTGTGAAATTAATGACGCAACGTGTTAATTGTAGGATCCAGGCACTGCACCAGCTAGGAGGAAGTGGAGTTCAATTGGTTTGGGAACTGAAATATTTAGAGATGCTAATCGAGTTGCAGAATGGACTGTTGGTGATTTTGACATTCTTGTACCCAAGAATTAGAAGTATTATATGTAAAAACAATAAAATAAAATAAAATAAAAAAGAATACCAAAAAGGGTGTGTTCGAATTTGAGAAATAGAAAAAAAAATTCTCATGAATTATTTTCTTTCAATTATTGAATATTTTGTTATTTGATTATTTTATTTTTGACTTAAAATGGAAATGGTTGAACCAACTATGTTACAACCAACTAATCAACTAAAAGTCAATCTTTAATAGAATTAAAATTGACTATATGAATATTCTGCTCCCTTGTTTATCTTCCTATTTCCAAAAAGAATGATATATTAACATTACGAGAGTGTAATAATTTATTTGTAACTAACAATGTGTCAACATTTATTTAAAAATTCAACTTCAAAAAAGTGTGTTTATTTTATTATATTTTTGTCTAATTTTTTGTTTTATTGCAAAGAGGGGATGAAAAGAAGAAGAGAAGGGAAGGGATCTGCGAGAATAAAACTCACACTTACTGTGAGGAAAATAGAATAAATTTACCCTTACAAGTGTTTATATCAAATTAATAGATGTACGACACACTGTTTGTACATAAGTTTTTTTTGTTTAATCAATAATTTTTTAATATATATTCTCACTTCATTAATCACAGTAATTAATAGAATTGATGTAAACACTGAATGCCATACAATTTAGATTATCATTAAGTGACCATTTTTCAAATTGATTAGAGTAATAGTCAAATTTAGATTTTTAAAGTATAATTAATTAAAAAAATGTAGTAAAATAAATTTGTTAAAATTTAATTAATCTTTTCTTAAAAGAGCATAAAATGCAACAGAACAAGTAAAAAAGGACGGAGGAAGTACAACTTAGAAGCAGCTGGCTGTTGTGTGTGACTTAGAGGAAGAGAAAAGAAAAAAACACCAATGGTCCTGATTCTAATGCAAACTTTCTGCATTTTGTACTTGAAAATATTTGATTTCATAATATATATATGTAGTATGTTTTACACACTATATAACTTACTAACATGCATGATCAATTATTTCACTCACTTCCAAGTTTTCTCAAAAGGTTTCAAAGAAAATAATATCATCAATCAAGAATGGAGATCAACAATCAAGAAAATGGTGGAAAGGGAGGAGGAGGAAGAAGAAGAGGAGGAGGAGCTGTTGGTCGAGGTCGACCGAGGCTCACCGGATTACGAGGAAACTCTCCACCACCTTTTCTAGTGAAGACATATGAAATGGTGGATGATCCTGAAACTGATCCCTTAGTACATTGGACTTCTAGCAAAACTACTTTTCTTATCACTGATCCTAACAAGTTTTGTGTTGAAGTTCTTCCAAAGTACTTCAAACATAGCAATTTATCTAGCTTCATTTACCAGCTCAACAACTATGTAAGTAACATTCTCTGTGTTGTGTTCCTAGTTCTCGAAATTTCGTTCCCATCACTACTAGTTCAACAGCTTTGACAGTGTTATAACATCAATCTTCTTTTGTTTCCAATATGTTTCCTGCGTTTTTATCTCATTTGTATTGATTTCTTGAAATTTGACTTCTCCTTTAGTATTGTTTTCTGTTTTGTGTTCCTATTTCTGTTGGTTAATGACTCAAATTTTCAGTTTCATCTTTACTAGTTCAAAATCTGTGATAGTGTTACTGCAATTTCCACTTCTGTTTCTGATATGTTTTCTATGTTATTTTCTCATTTTCTAGCTCAACATCTGTGTAGCTTCAGTCTATAAATACTAGACAGTAACATCCTTTTTCGTCTTAATTTAACGTTCTGATCAGTATGCATCTTGGTGCTAATTGGTTTGTTTCCTTTTTTATTTGAAGTAATAATTTGGAACTTTGATTTGATAAGAACGGATGAATTTTCAGCGTTTTAGGAAGGTCTGTTCTTACAAATGTGAGTATGGAAATCCATGGTTTCGGGCTGGGAAAAAGCACTGGCTGAAAAATATCAAAAGCAGGATTCAACTATCCAAGGAGAACAACCCACAGCAAGGTTCACATAGTCCTCGTGTTGATCTGGTGAACAATAATCTGGAAGAGGAGCTGGAGAAGTTGAGGAATGATCACATTAGTCTGAGGGTAGAACTTCAGAAGTTGAAAGATGGACAAGAAAACATGAGATCTTTCTTTCCTATGTTGCTAGGATGCGGTAAGGAAAAAGAAATTAGGAATATTATGAAGTTACTTCTCGAGAAATCTGAAGTCAGAGGAGACTCTAGCAGCAATGACACCACAAAGAGGCCACGATTGGTGGAGTCACCAGATCGTGTGGCTGGCTCTGTCCAGGATGGGATTGGACAGACATCAAACTCTGCTGGTGGCTCCGTAAGTTCCAATGAAAAACAGAAAGAAGAAGCAACTGCTCAAAATGCTAAGAATCGTGAGTTTTGGGAGAAACTGTTTGAAGATGATTCAGAGTCTAAAAATGAAGGAGCAGAGGAATCTGAGCAGGAACTGAATCGTTCGAGGGCTATGGCAGAGATCGAGGAGATGGTGGAAAGCAAGATTGCTATGGAAGGAGAAGCTTTGATTGCAAAGGCTGCTGCTAGTTTAAATGATGAGACGGAGGCTTATCTTCAACTATGGACCTAGTATATTCTCTTTTTCCATCAAATACAAAAATATGAATTCTATTACATGTTTAAATTATGATCTTCTTATCAAATCAAAAATTGTTACTTCGTCTGCAGGATGGAGAAGAGAAATGCTGATGAACTACAGCTGATGTAAAGGTCCTGTCTCCAAATGTACTGTTCTTATAATCGTTCCAGCAACTATTTAATGTCTTTTCTGTTTGCATAATTTCACCTAGACACTATACTGGAGGTAGGAAGTTAACTTTGTAATGCTTCATAATTGTAACTAATTAGAGTATCAAAACATCTATTGAGTAGCCTGTCTCTAAAAACTTTCACTGAGTCATGACACTGAAGCTGCTTACTTTGACGTTTATAGACAACAATTGAACTTAGGCATTCATTTTTGTTTGGATTTACACTGGAAATCACGCCATGGTTCTTAATTAATTGAAGTATCTTACTGAGTCACAGAAAAACAACACAAATGAAACCAATAAATAGCTATACAACAATGATGATCATGGGATCAGACAAGAAATAAGATAAAGGAGGGGGGATTTTCTTTTCTCTATTGACTCTTCATCATGCTTAGAAATGCTTACCTAGGTCCTGAAAGAATTGAAGGAAACAAGTTAGTCGTGGTGTCTGCCACTCTTTTGATTGCTGCAATTGTTTGTGAATTTGGAATACTATAGTCTAACTGAGATTCAATGTCCATTGTCCCCTCGATTACTTTAACCACCATTGACATGGAAGGCCTCAGAGTAAAATCATTCTGTAAGCACCAGACAGCAAGCTTCATCATACGGATGACTTCTGATGTATTGCATTGTGGATCATCGCTGTAGTTTCCCATCATATCGATAAGCTGATTGTTTTCGGCTTTCTCCATAAATAAACTAAGCAAATGTGGATGTTCCAGTGAGTGTGAATAGTCCACGTTCTTGCGTCCACAGAGGATCTCCATTGCAACAATTCCAAAGCTGTAGACATCTGCTTTTTCTGTAATGAATGCACTACACCATTCAGGAGCCAAGTATCCAGGGGTTCCCCTAATTCTGGTCACTATGTGGCTCTGATCTTTATCCACCAACTTGGCCAAGCCAAAATCAGATACTTTTGCACAAAGATTCTCGTCCAGCAGAATGTTCTGCGGCTTAACATCTAAGTGGACTATTCTTTGCATACATTCTTCATGAAGATAAGCCAATCCTTTTGCTATATCATGGATGATTTTTCTTCTTATTTTCCAATCAAGGGTAAATTGAGTAGAGGATGTGCCAAAAATCCATTTATCCAATGATCCATTACTCACGAAATCATAAACTAATATTGTGTGCTCTTTCTCAGCACAAACTCCAATTAGTCTAACAAGATTAACATGATGGATGCTTCCTATGGTCTGGACCTCTGCCAAGAATTCCCTCTTTCCTTGGCCAAAACCATCAAGAACCTTCACTGCTACTTTCTGACCATCTCGAATAACTCCTTCATAAACTGAGCCAAAACCTCCCTGACCAAGCTTTTTCTGGAAATTCCAAGTTGCCATCTTCAGCTGTTCATAAGAAAATCTTACAAGACCAGATATCTCCCCTGAGTAATCATCATTATTTTCTTGTAATGTGTGTTTTCTGTTGAAAGCAATCAAGATGCCAACAGTTAATGCTATCAGAAGAACTGTTCCACCAGTTAATCCAGCTATAATGCCAGTTCTTCTTGTAGCTGTAGACTTACCTTTTTCTGCATCATTTGGTAATTTGATGAATGCAGATGATTCATAGACACTTCTTCCCTTTCCATCAATTATAAGTGACAGAACAGGAGAGGGTAAATAGCAGTCACCACTTGAAAAGTTAGTGAAATACCGGAATAGAACTACTTTACAAGAACAGTTCTTCAAGCACAACTCTTGGCAACTTTCCTCATCTGTTCCTCTCAGAGCTGCTGCATCAGTGTCGACATAGTTAAAGTAATAGACATCCGAAGCACGGTCCATTCTGTGGGAGCGTTGTCCATCACATTCCACCGGACTAACTTCCACACATCCGTTGTTTTGTCGATCATTACTTTTTATTAATGGACCTGGACAAGAACAAATTCCATTTGAGCAAAGCTCCAAACTGCCACAAGCTGTGGGGTAATCGCAAAGCCCAATGAAATCTGCCAAAAGATCGTTTGTCTGATCACTACCCTCGGTGTAGGCTCGAAGATGTCCATCATAATCATATCTCAAATATTTCATCCTTGAAGGTCTTGAGAAGACAGCATTTGGCTCATTCGGCTCGGTTGAAGATATGTACAAGGCAAGAGTACCATTAACTGCTTTGACATAACTTTCATCAAAGCTATCCCTTTCTCCACTGACCAAAAACTTAAAATACATCTGCGGCTTGTCTGATATGTAAAATGCAAACAAGCCTTGATTGGTTACAGAGATATAGTAGTTACCTTCACTCCAATTGGACGAAGAAACTCTAGCCGCAAGTCTTTGACCAGACCTTAATTTCTGGCCTGGAAGCAATGCATCTGTTGGATGATCAAAAGACTGCCAGACAGTCTGATTATACATGTCATGAAGCACAAGGTTCCCAGTATCCATCATCTTAATGCCCGAAACAAACTTATTCGCGGTGCCTGTAGACCATACAAGAGTTCCATCCACATCTTTTAACACTAAATCTCCATCTTGCAACAATTGCAGCGTTCCATTTTCATGAATTGGATGGTTTCTGTTTGCAAACCAGACCAGCTCAAGGTCAGTCCAGCGCTGAGCTCCTAGAAAGTCCTGACGAAGACGTATAATTCCAATGGAAAACACAAAGGAATCATCCTCTCCATTTGAAGCAAAACCACAAGCATATCCCATGTCCTTTCCTATCTCTTTGAGCATCAGAATTCGCATGAAAGGTCCAGATGATTGATTGAATGAGTAAAAAGGCCATGTCAAGGGCTTTGTAACATTGATAGACGATACATTATTGTTTATCCACGTTGTGGGTATTTTCACTGTGTGATAATCAGGAAATTGAGCCAAAGTAAGGTTCTCAAGGAGCACAATGATCAAAAGCTTCAACAAATGTTTGACAGAGGGTAAAGCCATGATTCTGTTTAGACAAAAAAACTAAAATGTTCATTGACCAAAAAACATATTTCAAGGGAAAAGAATTCTTATACATACGAATAGTTCATCTGTGAAATCTCTAATTTATATCAATGACTTGACGATCATCGAAATGTATCTATTCCCATCTGCTTAACTACTTGTCTGGATAGGGTAAAGATGATTTGAAGCTGATGTTGTATTTTCGTCTCTTTTTTCTATGCTTGGAGAACTTTGGATATCGTATTTACCTACTTTTCAAATAAAAAATATTGCATTTGCCTAACATGTTCTATGTGGACAATTCCATTTTGCATGGAAAGAGAAGTACATTTGAAATTTGAATCAAGTTGAATGTTATCCCTTTGTCCTAGTTGTTCATGTTTAACATAGAACTTTTCTTCTCCTTACTAAGATTGACGACGACTGGTACTTTGCCTAACTCTGGTAAAGAACTCCAACAAAATCATGAGTACAGGAAGAAACATCTCTTTTATCATAGTTGTAACTCCATTAGTTTCTTACCTTACTAAAAAAATTGAACAACAAGACGCTACTCAAGTTTTGGGAGTCATCAGAGATAATGCAGTAAGCTTGGCGTCGAGTCAGTGTTTAGGATTTAAGTAACCATCACTAGGTATCTATTATGTCATCTCTATAGTATGAATGTATGATCATGAATCCCTGATATCTTGAAGAATTCTTTGTGCTTAAAAGAGTAAAGATCACTTTTTTGTTTTTACTTTCTTCAATTCATAGACCTCACTATCTTCTCATGAATGACTTACACTAACGAAAAACCTCTACTTCAGAACATTAAAAAGTGAAAGACATTTGTTTGTAAGCTGATATTTCCTTAAACCATGTAGCTGTAATCTTTGACTATAGCTATTATTAAGTGTCAATTTTCAAAAGAAAAGACAAACTGTGATATAAGGAAGTGTTATTAGAGCCAAACTTTATCACATATGGAAAAGTATTGCCTGAAAATTTGAACTTGGAATAACTGTTAAGAAGTTGAATATTCCTTCTACAACTTTTCTCTTTTTTCTCCCATTTCATTTATGGTGTCATTGTTTTTTAACATGGAACTACTTTTCTTGATAATAGAGAAAGAAATATTTGAGTGTCAATTCGAAATTCAGTGGAATTTCAACGTAAATACCAAACTTTTGCAAGCAATAGAATTCAAACTCGTGACGTGCGTCTAACCCACACATCATGTATTGCGCTCTTATTACTGGACCAAAGTCCCAAAGCCTTTTTCAAAAAGAAACTTTAGCAAAGCAATTCTTTCAAAAACAATTTTAGAAAAAAAAAAAAAAAGAAGTTTCTTTTCTTTTCAAAAGAGTGTTTCTAGAGCCATGGTTTATTAGAAAAAAGAGGAAAAGCACAAACTCTAATTTATTTATTTTTCCTCTCAAAAACCCCACAAAGAAAAAAGGTGCATAACATGTAATGAAAATTAAAAACACACCACTAGAAGTCTAAAACATCATTTATATCCCATCAACTAAGAAATATTTTTGTTGTTTCTTTTTAAAAGGAGAGGCTTCTTTTTATGTCCAATTACAAGCATAATGATAGGTCAACGTATCAAAATGAATTAAAGATATTATTTGCAATGGGATAATGAAATCATCATGTCACCAAAGTTTGTTGCCTTGTGATAAAAAAATAAAATGAAAGAAATAGGTATTGGAAAACAACTCAAAAGAAGAATGAAGAATCAATTATTTCTCTAAGGAACATTTTGGTGCGCCAAGCCATCATTTCTACGATAGAAATTTTGCTTTGTTTTCCATCCATTTATAGGTGACGGACGCATTTGGTTTTCCGTACCACTTATCTCTGTCTCTCTTTTCTTTTTTTTCTTCGATTACAATGATATGTAAACCAACTTGCTTATATAGTGGTATTACTATTTCACGAGGTACCTGTTATCATTTATTAGTGTTGGCATCAAATGATTTTGCACCCGTGGCAAATCTAGAGCATATACTATGGATTTTTAGGAATCTAAGGGGTTATTTGGTAGTTGAGTAGGAGAAATATTATACATGTATTAGATCTTGAATAAGTAATACCATGTCTGGTAGTTAGTTAGGCTTATGTATAAAATTAATATGGTGTTTGGTGTTTGCAATATAAAAACTTGTATAACTAATAATACATGTATAAGTTACCTTCCCCAAATGATTCAACATTCTTCAAACGAGTCTCCAACAATGGAGAAATCATCCATAAAAACTTCCTTGGACTCCTCAATTTCGGTGAAGGTGTGAGGAGTTTTCTAGGCCATGCTCTACTGGCGATTTATAAAAGATTTCTACAAGGTAGTTGTTCCTTTGTGCCGATTGCTTGAAAAAAAAAGTGTTTTTGAGTTTGATGTCATTGTTATGAAAGCATTTGTAAGGTTGAAAGACAAAGGAAATCTATGTATACTTTTGCAAGTTTAATACATAAATAGCTAAATTTTGCATATCTATCCCTGCATAAAATAATACACAAATTTTCTCATAATTCATTCATGTATTAATAAGACCTACATAAATCTGGCCAACTATCAAACAAAACCCTAATATTTTTTGTCCAAATCATATATCTGACTGCGCATCCACTCATTATCATATATTAACTTGAAGACATTGTAATAACTCATATACTTCAAATTCTGAATTGAGATAGTTTCGTTAATCTCATTGACTGATAGATAAGTCACCCTTGGGTGCCTCTCTCTTTGGGGTGTTTTCCTTGTTCACTCTTATTAATCTTTTCCAAGTGGATTTATTCAAAGTCAACATTGATATCCTATTAGAGAGTTGAACCGAACTTGAACACCACTAATAAATGTTTGCATAAGCAAAGTCATACATTATCTTCTTACACACCAAACCATTGAACAAAGAAAAAACAAATTTGACTAAAAAAGGGAGGTGTCCATCTACTACTTCTTACATTAGGAATTGGTAAAATTTCTCTATATTTGAAAGTTACAATGTAACTAACTCAATATCTTACTCAGTTACAAAGGTTTGTTTCAGTTATCAAGTTGGTATATCATGTTCAGCAGACCATTTAACTTTAACAGATTTTGATACCTTGCAAACAAAGTTGAGAAAGGGTAAAAAAAAGAAAGATAGAATCCTAAAGCACATGATCAAAATTTTAACCAACCTATTATTCACTAACATCTCAGAGCGAAGAGACTTGAAACACTGTATTCTGCAAGATTGCTAAGAACACATGAATTTTATGGTATTCCTATGATTTCTCTCTTTCTTTGTCGCGTTTATATTTCAATGAAAGAATTTTTGAATATTACAGGCAAAACTAAGAACAAAAGATGAATGGTGATAAGCACCCCCTCCTATAATACTGGAACTGAAATGGACATGGACACTGAGACATCACCAGGAAAAGTTGAATCCCTAGCTGCAGCTGAGTTCCCAGAAAATGCATATCCTACACCAAACCCGCTATAATGAACTGATGCATGCTCACACCGTTGGAATACTCTAGCAAGCGATGCTGCTTTCCTCCTTGCGCGCTTTGTTCCTGTAAAGAGCAATGTCTGAAGTAAACTTGCTAATGACGGCGCCTTCAAGACCCTCTCAGTAGCAGCTGCTCCACCACCACGGCATAATTCAAGCAATGCAGCAACTGCATTCTCTTTCCCTCTTGGTGTCCCACATCGCATCATTGAAATGAGCCCTGCTACTGCCGTTTCCTCATTGCCAACAGCTGTAGCACCAACTTGCTGCCTAACAATCAGCGCCAATGCACCAGCAGCTTCTTCGGCAACACCTTCACTTCCCAAAGCTCCAACTAGAGCAGTAACAGCTCCAGACTCTATCATCCTCGCACAATTATCTGTGTGGGTAGACAAATTAAATAGAGCAGTTACTGCATCCTTCTTCCCTCGAGGAGAACCTTCTCGCAACAGACCTGCTAAGGCCTCGACTGCCCCATCTTCTTTTGCTATTTGCCTCTTATAGTCATGAACAGCTGACAGACTGAACAATGTTGCTGCAGCATTTTCCCGTGCCTCTGTGGTGTGCCCAAATCTCAACACTCCAACTATCAATGCCAGGCACCCTACTTCATCAATAATTCGACCTTTATTCTTATCAAAAATCGATAAGTTAAGCATTGCAGTGACGGAATTTTCTTGTGCCACAGCATCTGGAGATGAAAGCAAATTCTTCAAATGTGGGATTGCACCAGCCTCAGCTATGTATGCACGATTCTCCTTACCAGTTTTAGCTAAAAGTCTTATCTCCCGAGCAGCAATAGTTTTTGCAATCTGCGTCCCATTCTCTAGCTGCTTAATGAGAAGAGCTGCTGTGGCTTTATTAGCTTCTAATGCAGCCCTGCTAGGTGAAGCAGATGGAAAACATTCAACACATGGATCCCCACTCTCCAGAGGGTCATAGGGAATTTTGCGAGCAGCACACCAATGCATAATCAAATTCCTAAGAGCCCTGTTTGGCACAAGCCGGGTATGATCAAGCAACTGCCCAGTCTTTGGGCAAGTACAGTGACCCTCCTCCATCCACCTCGATATGGGAGCTCGATCATATGTCTGCCCTGTTGCCACAATAACTGGATCCCTCATCAAATCCAACGATATTGGACAACAGAAGTCCTTTGGTACAGAAATGAATGTCTCTGCAATCTCTTGACTAATCAGCCCTCTCTTCGGCTTCTTATGCTTACCCAATCTCAATCCCATATCATCCTCTTCAAAGCCAAATAGCAAAAACCTGCAGTATCGCATCAACGCCACAAACCCGTTGAGAACTGAGGATGTGGGCTCAATATCTCCTTCATGGTTCACAATCTGCTCCTCCAAAAACTCAATCTCAACCCTGCAACTCCTAGGATTACAAATCCCCAATTTTTCCACAAAAAAAGAGTACAACTGAGCATAGTCAGGAACACCTCCATTCTCAAACTCATTCAAGAAAGAGAACAGTTTCAACCTCAGCATCTCATCATGTTTATCAACAAACAGCTGAGATTTTCTTGCTTGTTTCTTCAACAACTCAACCTGTTCCCTAACATCTTCAGGTAAACTTTTTAAATCCTTTAAGGGGAAAACATCCAAAAGGGTCGAGATTTCTTGGTTCAAATCATGGAAATGACCTGAAATCGAATGGTTTTGTAGCAACAGCCACAACTTACTGGAATGAGAGCAATAATCAAGCAAGATTTTCGACCGGTAAAGCAATAAATACAATTCCTTGAAGCACAAAAAAGCTGTAAACGGCAAATCTGAAGAACCCCTACTTCTGTTCTTGTTATTCTCAAGAAGACATTCCAAGAGAACAGAAAACACTTGAATTTTCCTTAACAAAGACTTACAATTCTTCCGCTGATAAAACGGCAGCTTTTTACCTGAATATGCAGAAATCAGCTCAGAAGATAACGCCGTTAGTGTTTGCAACAACCCAACATCTGTCAGATCCACCGGCGCCAAGAACGCTTCCAGTGTCGGCGACCTTTGTCTCCTCAACGATGAGAAAATTGCAGCAGATGCCATCAATTTCCAACACCCAATTTCACCAAAATCTTGAATAATCAACTCCAACCCTTTTCTTGTTTCCCACTGAAAAATGCTTTCTTGATCTTATTTGTGCAAATTTCAGTGAGATTTCTATATGGGTATACCAAAAAACTGTAAAAACAACACCAAGATTCTACCTTTCTGGAAAAAAACTATCAAGAAAGGTTTGAATTTAAGACCAAGAACGAAATGGGTATTTATTATTTGTACAAAAACTTGTATGGATTGACAATAGAACCAAAAAAGGGAAAATATAGGTATATTCTATAGTGAATCCGCGTTAAAGAAGAAGAAGAAGAAAGCAAAGAAAAAGCTGGAAGAGAAAGAAATGGGAAGGGGGGTTTTCACTGTGTAATTATAAAGATTTGTGTGTTGACAATTTCTTATTTTTTCCTTTTTTTCAATATTTTTTTCCTTTTTTTCCAATATTTGGTTTTTTTCCTTTGCTGGTTTTTGGTTTTTTATATATTTTTTAGAAATTTCATGAGCCGCCATGAAAATGCTGGAACCTTAGCTTTGACGGATTATATTATCCAGATTCTTAAATCCTGTCCATTCATTTTCTTCCTACCTATTTAGCTTAATTAATTAATTAATTAATTAATTTTAAAAAATTAAGAAATCTATAAATAATGAATTTAAAATTAACATAAGTGGTGATTGGAGAAAAAATTACTTGGTTCTGTTAAAGGGTGAAGCAATAAAAAAAAGTATGAAAAAAAAATAAGTGAGTGATTATGTAAGTAATATTGCAAAAAAAAAGTAGTGTTAGAATAAAGAAAATAAATTTTAAAATTAATCATGTGGTACTAGATTAAATATTTTTTAATGTGTTTATGTGGAGCTTTATATGATGATGTCAAGTAGTGAAGCATGGGTACTTTTAGTGGAAGCTTAATACATAATTAGCTTCGTAGATTTATCAAAATATTTCATTTGGCATTTAAATAAAGTTATATTTTAATTGAATATTTCAATTTTTAATGTAATATTATATGTATATGTTCTCATTTGTCTATTAAAAATTGATCTATAATCATGTAAGAATTTATATTCAATGATATTCATAATGAATATCTTGGACTTAAAAAAAAAGATTCGGTTAATGAGGTAAAAGTTTCTTACTTTCATTAGTATTTGTAATAGTTATGGCTTAGCCTTTTAAGGTTTTGACTTATTTTGACTTATCAATCAAAAATTGGTAAAATCTAACTTCTCTAATAATTAAAAAAAAAAGGTAAGAGTTCCTTTTATCCTAAAAGACTTGTATGTATTTGAGCTAAAAAAAAATAAAAAAATGTAGATTTTTAAAAAAAAAATCTTAAGAAAAGAAAATGTCTTATGATTAGTTATTTTCACTTGGCCTTTGCAAAATTAATTTCTGCTTGACAAGTAGTTCAGCATTTTGTTGATTGGTCCCAATATTTAATATTAGACCATAGTATATATTTTTTTCTTCCTTTTCTTTTCTTTTTATAATAAATGATGAGAAAAAGGGTAAAAGTGTGTACTCTCATCAGACAATTAATTGAAGAGTTGACCAAAGAAAAAGGAGATTAGACCTTTTTTGGGCCCATTAGAACTGTAACGCATGGAAATAAGTCACAAAAAAGATTATTCTATTCCTTAATTTGGCAGTCTTTTGGGATATACAATTCTGTAATTTGGAGCCTTTGACTAAACGAAAGGTTCCAAATATCCAAATTATCAGAGTGTACTAAGTTAGCGTTTGAACATTAATTTTTTAAATTTTAACTTTAAGATTTATGATTAAATAGGAATTAAATTAATAAAGATAAATCAACACTATTTCTTGTGTCACGTTTTGCTTAACAACAGTCAATTTAATTAATTTTTTAAATTAAATTAAATTATTTTAATATTTAAATACTCAAAAATTACATTTAGAAATATTATAAATTGTATATTCTTTTTCTTATTTTAATATTATTATTTTACAATATTGCTTAGAATCTACATAATTTAACTATTAAAAAGTAAAATATAATAAGTAAAAGTGAACGGAGTGAGCAGTAAAAAAAAATTTGGGGTGCATAGTGAAAGGAATCAACACTACTTCCCGTGTCACATTTTGCTTGATGACAGTCAATTTGATTGATTTTCGAAATTAAATTAATTTAATATTTGAATATTCAAAAACTACATAAAAATACTTTTGAATTATATCTTTTTTTTTCTCATTTTAATATTATTATTTTAAAATATTGATCAAAATCTATATAATTTAACTATTAAAAGTAAAATATGATAAGTAAAAGTGAACGGAGTGATCACTAAAAATAAAAATAAAAATTGGGGTGCATAGTGAAAGGAATCAATATTGGCATAGGGTTCTAAAGAGTGCTTGGATTTTTATTTGATGTGTGCTCTAAATGCAGCATTAAGAATTTCTCAACAACCAAAGCTTTTGGGTTACTTTGAGATGTGCATATCTTTATGGTTGTTTTGACTTTCTAATCTCTCTTTCCTCCATCATTATTCTTTTTCCTTTTTTTCTTTTCTTTTCCTTTTTATTTTGTAATTTAATTCTTTCATACTTTTCTAAAATAAAAAATTTAAGTCATTGCCTCATTGGGATTGTTCACCCTAGTTATCTAATATTAGCTTCTTTTAGAAAACTTGCTTTTAAAACTTCTTCCTTTTATCCTTTTAGGGAGGGATAAAGAAATCGTTCATATAGATTTTTTTAGCCAAACAATATATTAAAATTTTAATATTCAAAAATTATACAGAAATTATCATAAATTATATATATTTAAAAAATGATATCAATATGATGAAAAATACATCTTAAAATATTAGTCAAAATTTATATTATTTGACTCCTAAAAAGAAAAGAGTACAAGAGTAGCCAAATAAAATGTAACGGAGGGAGTATTTAGTAAAGTGCTTATAAATACTTTTTAGAAGTAGTCAAACACGCAAAAAAATATTTTTAAATTATTTTAATTTAAAAACACTTAAAATAAATGAAGCCAAGTACTTTATATTGACACAAATTTAATAATCAAACTTTGCCTTGAGATTTTCTCTTCTTAGTCTTCGTTTTCTGCTCCTCTTTCTCAATTGCATTTAATTCTGTCTGTGATTTGGAAAATAACAATTTAATTGTCTGTGATTTGGAAAATAACAAACTGTGGGGTCATTTTTTGGTATTTAATTTCAATTTCTTATGTAATATGAATTTATGTATGTACTCGTTTTCTTACTGAAAAATAAACTATTCTATTTGAAAAACTAAGAGAAAGGTCAATCTAACATTATTTTCAAAATTTTAGAGTAAAATGTCATGAAAAGAAATGGATGAATATTGAATAGTGTTAAAATTATCGGAGTGAGGCGTATCAAAAGATACTATCCTTAAAATTGTTTTTTCGATAAAAGTGTTTCCTTCCAAAACTCAGTAAGTCATTTTGGTATAAACTAGGAGTAAAAAGATTATTAAAATCCCAATCAATATAAAATGAAAAAAAAATTGTCTTTTGTAATAGGAGAAAAACTACAAATATATATAGGTGAACAAGTATAGTCATGAGAATGGAATTTTCATAGCCTCAAACAACGGTTTAAGAAGTTGATGTCAATAAAAGCCAAAAGAGTAAAATATAGGCAATGAAAATGGTTTGCAATCGTCATAGTAGAAGGTTTTTAAGCCAATTCAATTCAAGGATTGCACAAGTTGACTATTAAGGCTATTCAAAGACATATCAATTGTATATTACAATTCTACATAATTGCTAAAGGTTAGAAAATAATAATTCGTTTTAAGATATCAAAATTAATCCTTATACCAGCATGAGTTGTGATGCAGTAGTGAGATTGTTCCATCTTTAATCAGAGGTCTCAAGTCGTGCCCTGGGTATGAAGAAAATTATGTTGAGAGCGTCACTCCCGAATAGGCCGATCCGAATTTAATCCAATACGGACTCCAAACACTAGGTGAAAAATAAAAATAAAAATTATCATCCTTATACAAATTAAAGACTATGTTAATCTTCTCCATTCAAACTTCATGATCTTTTATCAAGTTTTATTTTATCATAATATAGACAGTATGATATTTTTTCACATCCAAAGGCATTTTTCTAGTGGATGACACTTTTTCATACTGAAAATGAAATACATTTTTTTTAAAAATCTTCAAGAAAAGTTAACTAAATACTTTAGAGTATGAATTTAATGTTATAATAGTTAGGTACTTACATTAAATAATTAGAACCCTACTTGTCACCACATGACTTTTTCCGTATCCTTTAGGAAAACTACAGCTCAAAAACTGCCACGTATACTCAATGTCGACCGCGTTTTCGTTTTTTCTTCTAATTTCTAACGCCTAACTTTTATCTATAAGTCAAACATCCAAAATATTCAAACACACTGTCCAAAAAACTTGTTCGGATAGTAAGCATCCTTCAATTTCAATCTAAAGAATATGCATTCGATTTATCAAAGGAGCATAACAATTGAAGCTTCTAGGAGGAGAGGTAAAAATAAATAAATTCAAACACCCTATTAAGTTTATGGTTCAAAAGTCACTAAATAATAGAATAATTTTAACCTTTCTCTAATTATATATCGGTTTTATATTTGAAATGAAAATCGAACTCATAATTAGGGGGACATATCCAAAAGGAGAGGTATGGGTTCATGCACACTTATGCCACACTCCTTAAATCATAATTCGTATATAACAATATTTTTTGCTCTCTCTCTATATAGGTGCATTTATATTCAGAGAGTCCTATGATATAATGCATATTGGTTCCACCTCTATAATTGAGGTTGAGGGTTCAATTATTCAGAGTCATGTGGTATAAAGCATGACTTATGAAGTAATGTGTTCAAACTTCAAATACCTTAAACTCAATTATCTAAGGATAATTAGCAACCTATTATAAAAACTTAATTAACATAACTGAGTACATGCAACATACATGATCACTAGAGTTTCAAACTATTTTAAGCATGCAATCTTTAATTATAAGAGTGTCAATTACTCGAAGGAATTAAAAAGTATACATGGAGAAAAGCTCGAGAGGACGATAACAAGATTTGTTTGGAGAACTCTGAAATTTTCTCATGTCATTCCTTTTTTTTGAGAGAACTCTTTTA